TTTATATTCTTTAATCATAAAATAACTGAAACTAATACCCGCTTATTCTTCCCTTTTACTTCATTCTATCCTACTCTTATGCTAATTCATTTTTATTTGCTATGAATAATTACTTTCTTTTTTTTACTTAGTAATTTTTGGCTACATTTTTTTGCGTCACCAAATGTAAAAAAAAATCTGATTTGGCCAGGGCACATGACCTCCTACTTATTCGATGTTTTAAAATAGTAGTGAGGTTTAAGATATCCGACTACGTTCCAATCGTCAATTTTGAAGAAATTTTACAAAAGATTTTTATTGCTTTATTTTAAAGCTAATACATTAAGCTTTCCAAAAGTACTTTTGTTTGGTCTCCCCTGTTGTTGCAAGGAAAATTATGACTGAACTTGTTCTACGGCGAGATCCCGAAATTTCTATTTAAGAACCTGGAAGTTGATCTCTAAAAGTACACATACTGTTTTAAATAGCTTTTAAAGGGAATTTTTCATTTGAATACATTTGGTTATGCTCAGAAGATGATTTTGAACCTTTATGTTTGTTATTAAGCTTCTGTTTGTGTTTGCATTACTTTAAACATATTTTTTTTTTTTAAAAAAGGACAAAATGAAACTAAAATATTGAAAAATACTTTTGTGGTAACATATCTAGTAACCCTGAAATTTAACAAAACCCAAAATATAAGAAAAAAAAAAACGAAAAATGATACTTTGATAATATGTCTATCACATGTTTCTATCATTTAAAGTAGTATTCTGCTAAATAACATGAATAATTTTTTTATTTACAACTATTATCCAAAATTTAGGTGTTAAACATAGTCGAATACCTTAAGCGATTAAAACATATTTCTAAAAATATAGTACTTAAAATGGCAACCAGCAATGATTTGATATTCTCAATTTTTTCAGTATGTATTATGATTTGATCACCTTTATGAAAAAAGAATGGTTGCTTCTTACATAAATTTTAGGCAGATTCTTTCGTTAAAATCGTATGTGTTAAATGCACACTTACAGCAAAAGCAAGAATAAAATATGTGCCTCTAGAAATGAATAAAATTCTTCAAGTTTTACGAAAACTTTCGATTAAATGTATACAGTACATATGAAACTAAAGGAACCTATGAGTAACATACTTATAAATGTTATTAATTGACATAGAGGTGTTCCTATTACTAATGCTAATTAACAAACAATGTTAATTCATTAACATTGTGTATTAAATATGTTGTGTTATTAATATAACAGTTTGACAAACCTGTCTTCCAAACTTTTATTATAGTGACGATGTATTTTTTTAGAAAATCTGTTGACAGTTCCAAGTGAACTATCACATGCAGCTCAGCATATGTGATCAAAATCTAATATGCTATTTTTGGGCTTGGAGAAAAATACTACTTTCGGTTGTCCAATTTACCAGAAATTCAAATAATATTTTATATATAAATGTAGAAACTTCAGAAATAGAAAAGAGTAAATTTTGGAATTGTGATATCCGATAATATACCGTCACACAAATACATCATTCTAAAATTAGTGCATCACTGAAAGCACCCTATCAAAATTTGAACCGGAAACATTACTTCCGTTACCTATGTATACAAGCTGGCGGGAGGTTAAAAAATGCGGAACATATTCCTATTTTTTTAATGTAATATAAGGGTATCACTATTGTTAAATTAATTTCTTAAAATGCTCTTTCTGTCCAAATATTTTTAAAAATGCTTACTGGGATTTTATTTTTAACTCTAAAGCCAATACATGATATTTAATGACACTAATTTAAATAAAGTTTTATTATTACTGTTAGTGTTATTTTAAAATACGTAATATTAATTGCCCAAGACGAAGCAATATTACATCTGAAATTATAGATCGGTAACTGTAACTTCCGCATTACCGTCTGAAAAAATATTTGATAATTATCTGTACTATTAAATAATGAGGAATCAACGTATGTATGTATATATGTTCCTCACATCGTAGAAAAACGGCGGCACCTGGAGCCACCAAATTTTGAACACACTCTATCCAAACATATGTGCACTTTGAAGCCCGCGTTTTGAATTTTGCAATTGTTTCATTTAAGTTACATTTTGTGCAAATTCAATGTATTTTTGATTAACAAACTAAGCGATTTAAAAGCGAACAGTGGCATCTCCAGTACGCCAGACTGTTGCCAATCGTCAAAATGTAAAATGTTTATCCTTTAATTTTAATCAAAAACTCTGCTATTTAAAGCAATGTGTTGCTACTACGTGAAATAAATTACTTTTATCTTATACGGCTCAGCATATTGCCATTCAGTAAAGCGTTAATTATTTAACTTTCCAATTTAGACTCTTAATGATGAAAAACCAAGCGATTTAAAAGCAACAAAATGCATTTCTTAAGAATATTTTTTCTTCTTTTTAATCTGATTCATTTAAATTAAAATGCATTTAAATCATAAGAACTTTTATTAGAGATACTAAATATTTTTAGGAAATTACATTAGCTGAACTCATTAAAATAATTGTGCATATTTTCCTTTTCAAAATAACTATTCTAAGCGGCTAGCGTATTGTTAAAATTTGAAAATTACTCTTAAGCTGAATAGAGTCCGTAGAAAATATAATAACGGCTAATAATTAGATACCGGTATTAAAAAGAATAATTTTCAAGTTATGGGTCTTTCTTTAATAAACCGCTTCGTATAGTGACTGACTAACAACAAACCGTTTTAACATTCGGAACACTTTCACTTATCAACTTCAGTAAGTTTCCAGCATAAAATGTTATCCCAAATATCAATAGACAATAATTTCATTAATGAGTTGAAACATAAATATTTACTTCACTATTTTAGAACATTTCTATGTAATTCCTGAAACTACTAAAATTTGTTAACTCAATACTTCTTCACGATAGAACGATGTGCAGATAAACCTTTAAATTGGTTTTACATATTTCGTTGTTAAAAATACATTCCATTGTTCTTTTATATCCATCTTCATATTTACACTAGTGCTAAAGAAGTAAGCAATAAACCCTAAAATAGGCCCACCAGCGGCCGAGCGGTAAAAGCCGCTGAACACTGGTAGTTCGGTCCGGGGTTCGAATCCCGGCGAACGGGCTGGCTGCATGGACGTTTTCGTGGTTTTCCCCATGTGTAATGTGGATACGAGCCAGTTTCCCTTAAAAAGACCTCCACAGGGCATCCCTCCATTTCCGTGTAGTGCCTAAGGGCGGAGCACGTAATAAATAAAAAAAAAAAAAAAAAAAAAAAAAAAAACCCTTAAAATAAAAAGGAAATTAAAATATACAATTTACATATGAGGTAGAAGTTTCATCTTCGAATGCAAATAGGCAACCAAAGTTAGCATAAAACGCAATACTACGATCACACCCCAAAGCCTTAAAAAGGGACATGCCTGACGTATGAGTCAGTTCGTAAGCACCGATAACTCTATATAATCCTAGATAGCCAAAACGATTGCGAGAGAACTGAATGTGGATCATAGACTGTGGAACTGATACCAAAAGGATCAAACTTTAGATGATTTGGGCCTGGGCAACGGATGATTACCACAACAGCAGACAATCGCTTTTTTTTATATGTGCAAGAAGGCGTAGATCGCTAATAGCACTACAGTTGATGTTGCATCTGTCTGCTGCTACAGGACGGTCCATATCCCGCCAAACTGTTGCGTCCACTGCATGATCGTGGACTGCATGTCTATGATTTGTGTTCCATTGTCCTCATCGCATGTCAAAGCACGACTGAATTGGGCCCATGAACATCGCAGTTGTATACCAGTGGGGACACATACTCTTACGGATGAGTCTCGATTTAACATCCAGAACGATTCTTGAAGGCCAATGATATGGCGACAGCCAGGGACACGCTACTCGACCCAAACATCGTCTAAAGAGACTTACGCAGGAGGAGGTTTATTTGTATGGGCTGGGATAACAACGAACGGCTGCACCAAATTCTAAGTGATTTATGGTAGTTCTGTCAAATCCATCCGATATCGCGACGAAATTCTAAACTCTCCTTGCGTCCTTTTATCGCTGAAAGTTCATTCCACATGTGTCGTGCCTTGCTAGATCACCTGACCTGAATCCCATACAGCATATGTGGGACATGTTGGGACGACAGATAACAGGTCGCAATTGGCCCCCAAGCAACCTCCATGAGTTCCGACATGCATTACTGCAGGAATGGGCGCTGTAGTAACGCTGCCATAACAAGCGATCAATGACACTATTGCCACCATGCTTCGCTTATGTCAAGAATTCGGTTCAGTTAGAGGTTATCATATCCGTTATTAGCGCGATGCTTCCATTGCACATTCTTCTGATCCATATTGTTTTCGTGATGTTGATGGTCGTAATATATGTGTTTTTGTATGTCCTTGCTTTATTGCTTGCTATGTGGTCTAGTAATACCACACCAACCTCTTGGATTATGTTTACGCGTAACTATTGAATAGTTTTTGTTTTATTCCGTGTTTTGCCTTTGTAGCTTATTTTTTAATTGGAGTGTATATGTTCAAGCATTTAATAAAACAGACCAGGAATACTTAAGTGATGCAGAAGATAAGAACTGGGAAAAGTATAAATGATGGTATTTAGTTGACGTATATGATATAATTATAATGGCTAATTATGTATGATACAAATTCAGAAGTCAAACAACAAAAATCAGCGTTGATTTTCAAAATTTTTACAGGTCTAGTTTCGATGGTTTTACCAAACCACCATCCTCAGCTGCAAAACCGAAGATAATTATATATATATATATATATATATATAAAATAATAAGGCATTTGCGGTTTTGCAGCTGAGGATGGTGGTTCGGTAAAACCATCGAAACTAGTCCTGTGAAAATTTTGAAAATCAACGCTGATTTTTGTTGTTTGACTTCTGAATTATGTATGATACATTTTGATATTTGAAACCACGTGACAAAAGAACATTATATGTTTGCTTATTAATTATTATTTTTTCTTTCAGCTTGTTACTCGTACAGCGACGCACAGGATTGCACGACAAAAAATGGCACCTATTTTAATCGCACTTGCTTTGACGCTAACTATTCCTTGGCTCACAATCTCAGTAGTCTTGTCAAGAATATGACTAAAAAACCACCCGCGGACGAGTACTTCGTGTGAGTAAATTTAAACAGTATCGTTTCTTAATTCTGCTGCTTGTTGATTTATTTAAATGTACTAAATGTTTAATAGATTATCATGAATTTTACATATAGATTTTTCTTCACTAATTGCTTGGTTAAAATACTCTATATCTTTCAGTCTAGAACAGACAATAATCCCATACGTTTTAGCTTACCAGCGCATAGATTGAATAATAGGAACATTAATGAGCATAAATATTTTCCTTGAATACTGAAATCGTAGACAGATAAAACAGTCATCTTTCATTAATGTACTAAAACGAGTTAGAAGATATTTTTTTCTTTCTTTCCACATACCTTCATGATGTAATTGGAAACATGATAGAAGCGTATTCGAGAGGTCGAAGGTTCGAGTCCATGCGAGGGCATTGAACACTTTTCGCGTCTCCTGGTGCAAAATAACCTAAGACTCTACAAAGATTTAAATTAATAAGATGTGAAATTAAGAATCTGTGTTACTTGCAAATGATTTAAAATGATCGTGATTAACAGGACCTGATGACTTGAGAACTGAAAAAAGCTTACATAAAAACTTGCATCTCAGCACCTACAAAACTAAGCATCCTAGAAAATAATCTGGTCGGGAATTGGTTCATCTAGGAACTCATAATTACTACGCTTTTAAGTATTCCAATCAATACATTAGAGAATCAATACATTAGAATACAAACTAAATCAGTTCAACATTAGAGAAAAATCATTTGAATTCTACTACACGCTAGTTAATTTAAAAAATTACGAAATTATATTGAAAATGAAACATTTCGTAACCTCATCTGTGTTTAGCATGAAAAATCAGATTAATAGCTAGTTGAAAATAAAATTTTATTATATTGGCTAAATAATAGATAATTAACATTAATAATTAACTGCTAAATAATAATAGAAAATTTGAAGAACATAAATAAAAATAAATTATAAAAATGAAGTGCTACAATTTATAATCTTTCAAAATCTTTCTTTCCATTTATTCAGAAAGTTATCCTTGCCAGAGAAGATTCTTTGCTATTTTGTAATGTGGTAACAAATTTATTAGTTACAATAGGTTCTATTTTATGCTTAGGCTTTCATATAAAAATCAATTAATTATTTATAAAACTTAAATCTTAAAACGATTTTAAACAAAGATAATAAAAGTTTTACATACCTAATAGTTTCAATCTGAAATCAAAATCTTTGTTCCATGATAAATCAATATAATCAATATACATTTTGTTAGCCCTATTCAATAGGCTATGAAGGTATTTATGTGAGAATCACTTAAGTCAAAATGAATCATTCTAATGTTAATGGCAATAGTAAACAGTGTAACCGGCACATAGTTACCTGTCAACTTACAGTTATCTGTGAAATTAAACTTTAACAATCCAAGTTTCTTCTTATGCCTTACAGATGCTCTCAGTAAAAATTTAGTGAATATGAGACAGTTTCCCTTTAAATGTACTCCACGAAGGTTTCTCACTTTTTTAGCACCTTGTCCTCGCATGCTTTGCCATAATATAAATGATCCCTTTCAATGCTTTTGCCACGCGACACACATACAATTTTTAGCCTAAGTAAAAAAGTGCGTGCTTCTCCTAGCCTTCATATTTACTGGACACCCAACTGTTTTCTTGCGAAAGGGTTAGATAGTTAGGATATAATAAAGATAGTATTTTCCTTACCATCCGAATTTATGAACTAAAAATCCACATTAGCCATACCATCACGACAGTCATATCAGATGGCTTTCACCGTGTGCCGATTCAGAATAGATTATAGACTGGATGTTGGATCACGCAATGAAAAGCATTTTGCGTAGAGTAGTTATCTGTAATGTGTGAGATGAAATTGAAGTGTAATTCGAAACGTCCCACGTAAAGATGTACCTGTTAAATCATTTTTAACAATGATATGTGAAAGGATGGTCCGTTTTGACCTGATCCCGTATAATAATCGAATACTAGTGCTTTTTAGATATATGGGTTTTAGGGAATTCGAGAAGTTCACAGAAAGACTGGTTTGCGGACGAATTTTGGGATCTCTGTTCCAGCTGGTTCCATACTTGAAAAATGGACAGTGAAATAAAAGCATCTGAAGAATTTAAAATTTTGTTTTGAAAATTTATAAATTCTGAATAGAAGAAAACATAAATTCCCAAAGCAAATAATTTGACAAGGATTAATTATTTCATAAATTACTGAATATTATTTAAAATGTAATGACACACCTGAAAAATAAAAATTTCTTGTGAATATGGAAATATAATGTGAAATCAAAATATAGTGAAATGGAAGGATATTTTCCCCTTAATTAGAACTGACTTATCTTGTTCAAATCTGCAAAATTAATAACTGAACTCTGCTCAATAATTACAACAATATAACATAAATTTCGCTTATAAATACATTAAAAATTCTCATTCCATTCCCCTTTGAAAGCTTACATACCCTGACATTAAAAGAAAAATCAATTAGAAGCATTAATTGCTTTGAAATAATAATATTAGGCCTCAGAGTGTTTTACTCATCGAAATTGTCTTGACGAAATTGTCTTGACGAATCATTAATCTCGAAACAATTTAATCACTTTATATTAGATAGATTTTAAATATTTTCTTAAATTTCATTCTGAGATAAAAATATTTGATAATCAGAATTTTAAGTTATAAAGTATTAGACAGGTACAATAATTGTTTAGACCCTCTTTGATTCTGAAAACAGCCAGAATTCGCTTTAACATTAAACAATATTATAGTTTCGTAATCATTTAGTATAATTTTACACCAACATCTAAACACAGATGCTTTTAATATCCTTTTGGTCAAAAGCTTTTATCTAGCCATATTTCATTAAAGAAATGTTAGGAAGTCTCTCTTTAGGAATTATATCCGAGCTGATATGCGGTCGTTTCATAATTATCGTATTATATTTTCTTAACTATTTTTTTAAAGTTTTGCGATCTATGATAAGAAACAGTGTTATTTCGATGCAAAAATAGCTGATCAGCAAACTGTTTCTAATAGGCTGAAATAAAATTGCTGTGAAATACTCCAGAATCTCTTTATCTAAACCTGACCATTTACGGTTTAAATACTCAAATGAAGTTTAGCAAATCTTGCTGATGACCTATAGCTCAAAATCACATTTTTAACAAGTGTGTAATATAAGCAACTGTATTGATACATGGGGCAATCTTTATTATGATATATGGGGCAAACGTTTTTTAGTTTCTCCAATTCAGGATCCAGCGTTATTTGCATAACTGATACGTATATAATTGTTTTCTAAAATAATTTCGCTTTATCATCATACTAATTCATTAATTTCACGCCGTACCAATTTTTTTGTTCTTGCTTTAGGAGAAAAGCTGTGGTTTTACATGATGTGTAATTTAAAAGCCTTCTTATTGTTTTTTGAAGCCACTTTCCCTTTTACAGAGGTTTTAGAATTATATCAAAGGTTTATTTGATGAAATTTGTTTACAAACGCAAAATATCCTTCCAAACCGCTCATTGTTTTAATTTCACCAAAACTTCAATATTTCGTTATAAAATCCTGCCCATGAGTCTTACTACTATTTAAATGAAAGACTATATTTGTCGAAATTCTTTACAATAATTTTAAACATTTCACACTCCTGAGTAATATATTCAGCTGTAAAAGAGAGGAATACCAATAGCGTACTTAATTTCTATTATAAAACCATTGCAATTCAATTATTTTAAATATAAGTTTTAATATGCGCAAGTGGTATGTTGATTAGCTAAAAAAATATTATTATAATTTTTAAAATAAATTTTGGGAGTCTATAATATTTATCTCTAACGTATTGTGGTTTTATAAATATTTACAATAATTTCGAAATTAATCAGTCTAATAGTTTTCTCTAAATTAGTATGGTCTAATATTTAAGTCTTGATAATAATTTCAAAATGAGCTTACTTTGTATTCTAAAAATGTATGGTTTTATATTTCCGCGTAAAAGCCTAGATGTAAGCTAGATGTTTTAAATAAATGTATTTATTTGGCAAGCGAAACTTTCATATGAAATTTGTGTCCATACTAATTATAAATACTGCTTGGTATCTATAACGAAAAGTTTCAATATGGAACCGAGTGATATCTAATACCATTTATAGTTTCTTAATTTTTTAATAGCCATTACGTTTTGGGTGAGTCGTCGGGCATCGAAGAAACTGGAGGTGTCCGCTGGACACTTGCTCTTTGTCTTGTCTTGGCCTGGATTATCGTATTCCTCTGCTTGAGCAAAGGTGTGCAGTCTTCAGGAAAAGTAAGCTTTCAATTAATTTATTTCATGTACGAGTATAAGACCCGGTTTCTTTTGGTAGCATGAAATACTTGACCAGAACTCTTAAAAGGCAGCTAGTGACTTTTCCCGTTGTCTTTAGTACCACACAGAAAGCAAATAAGTGTAAAGCTATTAATCTAAATAATGAATCCGTTTTATTAATCCAAATAAATTTTAACAGACGATACAAATAAAGTTTAACAGACGATAAAATAACAAATAATTTAATAATAAAATAATTTAATAAGACGATAAAATAACAAATAATAAACAAATAAAGTTTAACAGACGATACACGGTCGTGCTAACGAAAGCTAATATTTTATATTTTTGGCTTTAAAACAAAGATAATGAATGAACTAAAGATAATGAAATTGTAATATTGCCTAAAGGCTTCACAGTTTAAATAGCGCGCAAGCTGGCTGTCGCAGAAACCGGCGTAAAGAAATGTAATGTCAAGAATAACTCATCGCCGCAGAATTTTAATTGCTAGAGAATCAAAGCAACGTGGCCTTCAAGCAAGCAGAACACATTCTGATTTCACTCTCGAAAACCTCCACGTAAATACTTTCTTCAATGTAGCTAATTTAAATATCGCACGCTTGCTGAAAATTTACATTCTGACAGGGAAATGAAACGAGGCTTGATAGAAAAGTAATTTAATTTAAAATAACGGGTTAGAAACTTAAAACGAACCTTACAAACGAAAGCATATTTTTAGTATGCAGCTTAGACTAGCGTATAGTACATTTTCCGGATATCCAATCCAAATTGTTTGATGGTGACATATTTTAATGAGGACGGGGAAGTGAAAATTTACTTTTATTTTTAATTGTCTTTTACTATCTCTGTATCAGCCAAATAATCTGCATGGATTAAAGCATATGTGGAATCAAATGATGATGACAGATTTCAAATAGAATCTATGAATTGTAAAGTCCTACCAATGTATGAGTTGTTAAGACCGCTGAATATTGGGTTTTCAATCAGAATTCTATCCGAAGCGAGAGGCCTGGTTATATGGTTGGTTTTTAGGCTTTCCTCCATGTATAATATAAATGCGAGCAATTTCCCTTAGAAAGACTTCTCCATAAAGCTGTTTCCTTTTTTGCTATCTCTGAAGGATTTACTTACTGATATTAGGAAAAGATTTACATATTTTCTTTCTTCCATTTTTCCTACTTACCTGCAGTAGTAATCAAAAGGAAATCAATTTAAAAATGCTAATAGGTTTAGCAGATTAAGGCTATTTTTGCATTACAAGAATTAAACATCTTAGCAGGCGAAATTATTTTACGTATTATGAGTTAATCCTGTTTTCTAGACATAATGAGTACTTTTTCAATGAATGAATTTAAATTTCTTGTATTTCTCTTTGATAACTAAGAGATGCAGATGTTTCTAACAGCTACTAATTTTGACTAAACTATGCTTTGAGCTAAAAGAAGTTGCATTTAATGTTACTAATTGCATTTCACGTTATTGCTATATTCATTAGAAGAGCCTAATTCGTTAAATTATATATATATAGTATTATTTTGAGCAGATCGAGTCCAAAAACCTAAAAATATAACCAATCCAACTTGTGCAAAAGCAAAAATATGTAAGTTTTGGAACCCCACAGACCAGGTTAATTTAAAAAAAAAATTATAATATCAGAATCAAATAATAATACTATTTTTTGCTGACCGAATCCAAAAAATCATGTAAAATGGAAGCAGTCCAACAATATTATATGTAATTCTTTTACTTTCTTATATTTTTTAATTTGAAATATAAGAAATTTAATGGCAGTATTCCTCTTTAATTATATATATAATAGAATTAAGTAAATTTAAATATTCCGTTCAATTTGGTAATAAAATAAGAATTATTACGTATAAGCGAATAAACCACTGTATCAGATGATTGTAAAAATAATGAGGTACAAGAAAATATTGGAAAATGGTAGTAATGGTAAACTTTTCCTAGTATATCTTCTTCAAGAGGTGTGGTATACGTAGTAATGCAAAAGAAAAAGCCTGTTTCCTAGTCAAGAGATGCACAAGAGTTATTACAAATATTATTTAATTATTTATTACAAGATAGACAAATTAATTCAAAAGTAAACTGTGCATTCACTAGCTTAACCCCCCCCCCCCGATGGGCTGGAAATTGAAATGAAAATAGACTGCATAAACTAAAGTGAGGCAAACAAAAATATGTTAAAGGAAAATTTAGTTTAAGTTAAAACAAAAACAAAACAAAAAAACTTTTATTCTGAAGTCATGTCGTTCTTCTGTCGTAGCTCTGTGTAACGTTTATGAGTCCTTTGACCGCTAGATGGCAGCAGCACTGATATCAAAATTGAAATTTCACAATGAAAAATAAATTTACACAACCGCTATGACCACAGCTAGCGTAATGATTTTCATATAACTATCTCAAATGTGTATAAGTTTCACTTAGAAAGGCGGTGTACTTTCTGCGCTTAATTTTATAATTGTTCTCAATACTTTAGGGTTGACTTTCTAGAGAGCAAAGGGACATTTTAAATAACTTAATACCTTTAGCATCATTCATGTTTTGAGTTCCACCAATAGATGGCAGCAGTAAGGTTTAAAACCACTGATAGAGAAATAGCTCTCTCGATGTATAATAAATTCCGGAGAAAAATTGCGGGAAAAAAAGAATTGTAGTTTGCAAACTTCAGATTGTAGTCTAAACAATCTTAAAGTTTGCTAGCAAAATTTCAAAATGAAAAAATAATATAAATAAATAAATAAAAATAAATTAAAGGCTATAAAGATCTTAATGTTAAAATTTAACACAATATGACGATTGCACACATTTTATTTTAACAAATGAAACAAAAGCTACAGTTGAGAAACGTTTAATAATCTAGGAAATAGTTCTGCAGAAATTAAAGGTGTAGAACATAAAACCTTATATTTAAAATGAATTGTTCAATATAGTAAAGCTGAATGATGAGAATAGATTTTCTGTGGTATTCTTTTCGCCGCGTAAATTAACGCCACGAGGAATCTTGTACACTTAATTAACAAAGATTTGAATATTCAAGATTTAACTGTGGATCACTTGTGCATGAGGCTTGCAACAAATGTCTCTCTCATGTAGCAGTACTTTGGCCTGAATACGAAAGCCAAAAGCTATAAACGATAACCCCTCGAAAATGTTTCCTTCAAGACATTTAAAAAGGAATTATTATTTAGTACATTGTACTGTGATTTTACTTTCAGAAGTATTTTTGAAGAGTCTAAGTTTGTGAATACTTTAAAAATCTCTCATTATCTTTTAAAATTAATATGAACTCATTATTATTTTATTCACCTACAAAGCATTTTTATGGCAGGCAGATATTGAAGAATGTTTCAAATACTTCTATATATATATTTATAAATTATTGACGTAAGAAGCTCAATTTATTGCACGTGATTAATAATAATAAGGCACATTTTGTGAAGTACAGTAATTTAAAAAATAATACATTATAAATATTTGAATTATTCATGTCAGAATGCATACATTTTAATATTGAATACCCCCCTTACTATTTGGATTAAGTAAGCTAGTACTTGGATTGAGTGCAGTACCTACTGTTTTGATTGAGTCTGTTACTTTAGAATAGACACTTCGAGCCCATTTTTTGTTCAACTATGACTCATAACCATGGTAATGTCTGCTGCAGGAATTTTGTTTCTTGTCTTTCATAATTCCCCTAATTCACTCATTTATGTGATGAAGTGATGAAGATATATGTGAGGATTGTAAATGAGTGGAGGTTCACTAGGACCTTGAAGTGCTTATTTTAAATAACATATGAATATTTACTATGAAAATTTATTTCTTAAAAGAAATTTCGTTATGAGTGTAGAAACTAGGCATCTAAATTTCATGCTCAGTATCTCTTAAATCCCCCCCCCACTAAACCTTTTGTATATTTCATTTATTCTACATATTGCAATATAATTGAGAGTTATCAGAGTAATAGTTATGACTATTTACATTTCATAATTTTGTAACAAGAAATTAATTTTTACAATAGAGTTTTGAACCGTGGATGACCAAAAGTTTGAAGCAAGATAATTTTATTCCCAGTTTTCATTTCTGGTGGGATAAGAGCTGATTACATAATCGGTGCAACCTGTGTTTTTATAAAACAAAAAATGAAAACATTTCCAGTTTCTGCTTTATTTGCAAGATTAATGAGACGCAGTCATTATGCATGTGTTCTGTGCAATAGGTGACCAAAATAGTTAAATCCCTAATTTGCTATGCCATATCAACTAACAGAAAGGGATTTAGCAAATTTTAGACACTTTTTTAAATGTATTGAAATTTTTTTTATTATTTGTAAATATTTAAGGTTTATAATTTTTTTTTAAAGTGGTACATATATTTTTACACCTGTGTCCACGAAAGTCTTTACCAGGCCTCTGTATACGTAGTCATTTGTCATGACTTATGTCGTCATTTATTATAAAAATGTTTTAAATGAATGCTAACGTGTTCTTATTTTTAATTTTAAAAAAATCTGAAAAGTTTCAAATTTTAAAGGTCGACCAGTAGGTTTTTTTTAAGGTTTTTTACTCTCTCCCTGAACTCGTAGTCTACCAGTCTGCAGTTAATACTCAATCCTAATAACCCATTTTTTATTTGTTTCCATAGGTTAATTATTAAGCATCATTTCTTCCGATAGTCAATAACATATTCTTGGCGCTTGCGCCACATAAAATTCGATTCAACAGCAGAATATTTAAAAACAGCATATCTTTAGAGAATCCGACAGAGAGTCTCACGCGCTGGAGATAAAAATGATTTTCTCCTTACAGTGTTGGGACTGCTCGCTTTGAAATCGTTGAGTTTGTAAAACTTTAAAGATTTTTTTATTAACAAAGTAGATAGTAAAACAAATTTAAAATTCGGGTGTCCAAGGGTACACGTTCCTGCGGACTATTACATTATTCAAAATTTTATGTCTCCAGGTACCGTTGCTTTTCACATTGCGAGAAACATACATTCATGTAGATTTTTCCTTATTTAATGTCCTTAATCTAATACAGGGCGATAATATTTGATTGAAACAATTTGGAAAAATATACGCCGTTTATGGTGATTCAACGCAAAATGCCGGTTTGAGGCTAATATCGCGTTCGTGACTAACGTTCCTTTTGGGATAATAAATTTTGTATAAAATACAACATCTAACACTCCACAGAAAAAAATAATTGAACTTTAATGAAATTTTCGTGATTGCCAGATTATGATTATAAAGTAGTAAAACTTCATGAGAATGTTAATAATACATTTTTTAAATATGAGAATTAATAAATTATTGGTTTGAAAATTCTTTTTGTGTACAAATGTAACAAATTTATGAATTAAGGACTCTAGTAAATCTCAAAAGACTACGACTTAATGGCATTTAAGATAAAAAAACCTCACCCTCAAAGTATCCTAATTTATTTATTAATCGAGTCCTCGAAGCAAACTCAAAGTGACGTCAAATACCGCAAATTTTCGAATTAAATATCTCTGTTAGATTTTGTGTAACGAGAACCAAACTTCTTGTATTTTATTTTTGATAATAAATATCGACTCCTCTTTAAGAATATTTATGGACATAATGTATTTTATTACTTTGCGTCCGCTAACTATTTATCAGGAATAAAAACAAATGTTATATCTTTCCCAGGTAGTCTACTTCACGGCTCTGTTTCCATATGTGGTGCTGGTGATCTTATTCTTCCGAGGGGTGACGCTGCCCGGTGCCAAAGAAGGAATCCTTTTTTACGTCACGCCCAACTGGAGCCGATTAGCTACAGCCCAAGTATGCCCTATTACCTAAATTAGAAAAGAAAATTTGACAATAAAATCTGAAATTAAAGAATATATTCATTTTCACTTTGATATATTTATTATCCTACAGCGCGAAACCATTTTTGTTTGAAAGTATTGAAGAGCTGAAATATGTTATATTTTGATATGTTAATGTAAAAGCAACTTTATGATTCGTATTTAATAGCAATATACATTTAATAAGAATAGAAAAATTAAATAAAATAGAAAAAGTAGATGAAAATATAAGAAACTGTTTTCTTCTCGTCTTCAATAAGCTCACTCATAATCTAATTCAGAAATTTCGGCAAAATTAATATTAAAATGTCTATATATCTTCTATATTCCTTGATTATTCCTGAGTCGTGTCCTACTGGCGCATATTATAGATATATCTATTGTATATTTATTATAGCGCAATAGTTAAATTTAAATATCTTTTCCTTCTTAACCTGATTTACTCTAAATCACAATTACTCGCATTTATATTTAAATTTGAATTAAAACTTTAGATATTTAAGTTAAACTCTCCAAACTTTTTATTGTGTAACAATACATTCCTATTTTTAAAACGTAAGGAAATGTCGAAAGAAAGCTGATATTTTATAGCGAAAACGTTAATCAGTTTTTGTATGCTTTACTTGGTGTTTTTATCTTCAAAAACAGCCCTCTGTATTGTCATTAAACTCAAGTACATTTTAAAATTTCTAACTATTTAGCAACTACTGTCATGGATATTAAAATAGTACCAAAACGAAATACTGACATAAATGTCCTTAGCAAACAAATGCTGACATTGGATTATTCGGAATGTGTGTAACATTCTGTTTTCATCTGATCAATCTAACAATTTAAAAATTTGGACGGATTATTTCACTAACAAATGGAAAGAAATAGTATGATTACGTTGCCTGCTTATGTGTATGTGATGTATGTTTTAAAAATTATATATATATGTAATATTTCCGGGAGTAATCAGCTTGCAGTCGTCGCGGCTGAGAGTGAAGACATACAGATGAAGACAATAAAACATAAACTTGATGAATTTCCAATCTTTATTTCTACGCAAATAAAATCATCTCCATAGATGCTTATTCAATCATAATGAAATCCGATAAATTGCTATTTACATTGATTCGTAAAATTAAGACGCAGGCACTTTTGACGGGGAAGCAAAGCGAGGAGATATTAGCAAGGTGGAAGCCAAGAAAAGGATGACGCAGTTTTTATTTCCAAACAACATTTATGCAAAGTACTTGTAGAGAGTACTCTACGCTATGATTGGTTAATTTGTGATATTTATATAATCATCGGAGATTCACGAATTTGGGAGAAAAGAATGAATTTCAGGGAAGATCCTAAAATTGCGGAAAGTTAATTATAGGTTGCCTGTTCGCGCAGAGCAAAGCCATCGCATTTTTTATATTATATAGTATATATATAATATATATATAATATGAAACGTATAAGATACTTAATTGGCAATAGTCCTTTAAATTCCTAATTTGAATTAAAAGACAATTCCTTTCGCTTTTGCATTGACATCACTGTTTCCCTACAGTATTCCGCATTGCTGCGACTTTTTATCCAATCATCATTTAGCATTTAAACAAAGAATTTTCGAGTATGAATACTTTAGCTGTCTTTACTCACTCTCTCTTTAAGATTAAGATAGCACCGAGATAGGATGAAATAAGCAATCTTGCTGTCAAGATTCTCCCGCGGAATTTCATAAGCAAATAGACTTGTATTTCAAACGTCTGTTTAACTCATTCATACTTCCTTGAACAGTGGAAATTGCGAAGATCGTTCTCATCCCCAAACCGGGGAAAAATACAATTAAATCAGTTGGTTACAGGCCCATAGGTCTGCTACCAAGATTGGCTAGAAATTACGAAAGTGTAATCTTCAAGACAATGGAAACTTAGATGTATTTGCTTCCTTCCGAACAATTTGGGTTCAGAAAAAGCTTCTTTACCACCGAGCAGCTTAGGCTCATTGAATTTGTAGGGTCAGCTTTGCGCTACAGAAATAATACCGCCTTACTCATGTTACTCATCGTGGCGAAAGCTTTTAAGCTTTCGAAAGTGTGTGGTACGTGAGGCTTATCTACAAGCTCATTCAACTGAACTTCAGTAAGAAACTCATTAAACTGATCGTGTTCTTCATCAAAGCGATTCCAATAATACAAGACAATTTATGTTCTTTATCAAAGACTGGTCATGTTCTTATCTTTATTTATGTGGAAGTTTTAAAGAACAGTCTGACCTCGTCTCATTAATGCTGGTGTTCCGGAGGGCTTGAGAATTGGACCCATTGCCTGTTTATTTGTTGTGGACTTCCCAAGGCTCATTTAGATAACGATCAGTCTTTTATGGTGTAACGAAGACGACACAGTCTTAGTTGTTCAGTCAGTTAAACTAACCATGCTATTAAGAAACTGCAAAGTATTATTCCTTCGACAGAAGAACGGTGCACAAAATGACAAATCTCTGTTAATGCGTACAAGTCATAACTATTAATCATACGCAGGAAACTGGAGAATATGCCTGTTAGCAGAAAATTATCTTTTTAATGATGGAATCCCCCCAAATCAGCAAAGTCAAATATATGGGTATCGCACTGAATGAAAAAAATGAAGTGGAATGATCATATGAACAACACTCGAAGCAAAGACATAGGCGTTATAAATAGCCTAATGCCGTTAATTGGGAAGTATTCCAATCTCGACGTAAAGCAAAAATAATCTATTGTATATTTTGGTCCTCAGATCTGTTATCACCTACCCTTCACCCGCGCGGGGAACTATACCTAGAAATAAAATTTGCAAGCTGCAGAGGTTGCAAAATCGCTATCTAAGTCTTGTTACAAACGCACACTATTATGTCACCAAACAAAGGCTTCATTAAGATCTTAGAATTCATAGCATAGAAGATTTTTTAACAAAGATATTAGAAACTTTTACAACAGACCAAGAATTGTGACCATCTAAATGCTTTCAAAATTTTTGATTATAAGGTTCTCAGTAACGACAGTGATCTCCGTCCATACTCTGCTCACCTCACTCGTGATTCAAACTTCCCTACCTAACCCCTGATGAATTGTACATATGTATACAGCTTCTGTTTATATTACATTGTTTCTTTTGTTGCTGTAGCTGCTGTACCTTTAGTACTGATGTTTATAATATTTACTGCTGATCTCGTACTGTATTGTTATTTTGTATTTTTAGTATTGCATTTTAGTATACCTGTTGTATTGTTCCCGAAATTTTTACATGAAGATACTTCGCTCTCTCGCTTTTTCTAGTCTTGCCGTTTCATTGTCCTAAGATTTGCCTTTCACAGGCCTTGTGACTTTTGGTCACCCCTTTCCTCTCATCCTGCGTCCCTCCTGGAAGTTTCACGGTCCAGACTGATATTATGTTATGCGCCCTTTTGATTTTATTCTATCGAGCAGGCGACACGCCGGACACTCGCGGCAATATCATTTGAGTTCAGTTCAGTGAACTCTCTTTTACCGCTTGCAATGTTCTGGTAACTCACATCTCTTCACTAAGCTATATTTCTCCGTTGTTTAAATATAACTGCGTAATTTAAAATTGTGGGCTGAAGATTTCCCCCAATATGCGCTGTGCCATACCTTATTAGAGATGTTACTTAAAAAGATATATTGATAGGAATTGTTCATATTAGCAAGTGATTTTGTGATACTTCGAAAGAGTCCCAGTTATCTACTATGCCACAGAATCAAGCTATCCTCTATCACCTCGATTCCAAACACGACGGTGTTTTCATTGTCTAATATACAAACTTATATACTACCCTCTCACATATATTCTCGCCTGCTGATTAAATGATGATGTATAACACAGCCGACTGAACTGCAAATTACGATATTTTTTAATTTGTTTTCTAAAAGCCACGCAGGACTTTTAATATTATATGCGTATATTAAGTCATGTAATTCAGTGTTACATGTGTGTAACACGAGTTTTATATACTGGCTGTGCTAAGTGAAGTTTAGTGCAAATGTTGATAGCGGTAAACAATAACAAGCTTTGAAGTATTAATCTGAGATAATGGGATTTATTTGGTCAGTTTTTTCCGCTTGATTCATAAAGGCGAAGCTCATTAAACATGTAGAAACTTTCAGTTAATTTAAATATTTATGAAATCAGAATTCGGGTCCTTCAAAATTGTGTAATATATAAATACCTAAGCTAATTTATAATTTAAATTGACAATAGCCCCTTAATGCTTAAATTGATTGCCCCTCTTTATTCTAAGAATCTCTTTGTGCCCTACGTCATTTCGAGACTAATCCGTGTCATATGACTCTTACACAACACTGATGATGCAACTAGAACTAAAAAGCCAATAATAAGTTTTAATAATAAAGAGCGAAACTTTTGTTTTTAAATTTTTCTGAATTACCACTGCTTCAGTTTGATACACCTCCATACGACTGCTTCATGTGTTATATGAAACATTTTAACCGAAATAATTCGCAGCTCAAGAGCAAAATTTATGATATCTATTAAAAACATTCCTATTCCTGTGTTTAAAGTTTTGTCTAAAGTAATTAATATATCTTCTTAAATACTATAATTTGCTCTTAGGTATGGGGAGACGCAGCCGTCCAGATTTTCTTCGCTCTGAGTCCTGCCTGGGGCGGCCTCATTACTTTATCCTCCTACAACAAATTCCACAATAATTGTTACAAGTAAGTGAGCATGCTTTCAAAGTTAGAGAGAAATTTCCAAAACTTTTTCTAATGCGCATGCCAAAAGATAAAAATTACTTGTTATATATTTACTTGCTACATATTGGACTGCCAAGTTGCTTCATTTTTCATGTTATATTATTTTTAATCTACATACGTAAACTTTTACACTAAGTTGTTTTTTTAAGGTAGTAAAATAGTATTAGATAGTATTTATAAATTTAAAAGGTAGTTAAAAGTCTGAAGTAGAAGTTATTGATTTAAGTAGGTGTAGAAGTTATATTTAAGTAGAAGTTATTGATTTGGTAGTTACGTGCTAACCGATATCGAAATTTCCGTTAGAGAACTTTGAATAATTTAACTACTTCTTTTAGCGAAGAAACACTACGAAGTTAGTTCCTACAACGATACATTTGGTTTCACCGATCTCTTTCGCTCTTGATTCTCCATTTAGTTATTGCAAGTATATAAATATGTAAAGATCCCAGTCTTGCACAGATTTATCTTACATACAGTTTTAGTTAATTTTTAAAAGTTTTAATGCCACTGATTCCTTTTTTAGGTAATAATTAAATCAAACATCTCTACCGAATGTGATCCAACTGCATTCAATCCCATTTCCTTTTCTTATTCTTATTGCTATTTGTACTTATAAATGATACATTTGTATAATATAATAGTCTTTCTTCAGTGATACAAATGTAATTGCCCACAAATCAGCAAATTAACAATAGTTAGGTGATGGGTTGTAATGACAAGAAGATAGCTTCTGTTTTATTACATAACGAAGCAGCCACATCTGAAAAATTGGGAAAAAAAGGGGGAGACATAAAATGTGAAAAATCTGAAATCTGTTCTAACACTCGCTCCTGCAAACTCATTCCTTTTTGTCTTTTTAGCTTTATTATTTTAAGCGTCATTTTCTTCCCACTTACGCCATATACAGTTCAACAGCAAAATTACAAAATGTTTAAAAAAAGCATACGCTTAGAATTTCCGAAGAAGTGTTAAGTGTAGGAGGACATTTTTCTATTTTTCTTAGTCTTATCTGAGTTTATCACAACAATGTACAGTTTTCTTAGTAGAATGCCTTGCAAAACTTTTTTTCCCTTTTTATTATTAAAGTTTTGTTTGCTAAATTTATTAATTAATTCTTGTTCTTTGCACTTACGTCCCATAAAATTCAGTTGAATAGTAAAATCTTAAAATATTTAAAAACAGCATTTCTTTAGAATTGTAGTATAAGGTCTCGCGTGTTTGAGATAATATTTTAATCCGTACAGTGTTGCGCCACCGCTCGTTCGGAAATCGTTGAATTTGTTAATCAAAATTCATTAAAGGTTTACAAAATATGAAATAGATAATAAAAGAAATTCAAAATTCGGGTTTCCACGTGCCCATGTTCGGGTAAAGAACTATGTTATTCAAAATCTGATGGCTTTATGTACTGTTGTTTTTTCACACTACTACAAATATTTATAGATTCTTGCAGATTCTTCATTATTTAATTTCTATGAATATAATACAGAGCGATAAAATTTTTTGGCTACAATTTGAAACATGATACGTCATTTATAATGATTCAACACAAAATGCCGTTTCGAGACTAAATATCCCATTCGGGACTAATGTCCCTTTTGGAATAAAAATATTAAGAAACCTAACAAATATTGAAAAACGGGGCAAACAAAACAAGCTGAAATGTGAACTAGGTAGATAAGTGAACGGATGGATAGCATAATGTATATATTTAAGAGTAAGATAGATATTTATTAGTATGCTTCACTATGAGTTATGCGGGAGTGTTGTTATAGCTGGAGGAACATAAACTTCGTATGTTAATATTAATTTTAGCCAATGATCATTAACAAAAGCGTGCTTTCCTGAATTTTACCTTATTACTATTTCAGAGATTCCCTGATCGTCTCCATCAGCAACGTTCTAACGAGCATCTTCGCTGGTTTCGTCATTTTCTCAGTAATCGGGTACCTTGCGCACGAGCTCAACGTCGAGGTAGACAAGGTAGTGGACCAAGGCGCAGGCCTGGCTTTTATCGTTTATCCGGAAGTGGTAGCCCGTCTTCCTGTAGCCCCCTTGTGGGCCTTCCTCTTCTTCTTCATGCTACTCACCCTGGGCCTTGACAGCCAGGTAAATCCGAATTTCTTCAGAATTAAAATCGCCTCCTAACGCTTTAAAGTTTTATAAATTTATTTATTCTCTATCATGAATTTCATCAAATATCCCAATTAGGTAGTATTACGAATAAATATTTTAACATGTGTCATGGAAAGATCCGGAGGGTATTGTGATAATGGAATGTGTGGGAAATTTCTCCTATTTCATAAACTCAAAAATATCACACTTTATTACAGACTGAACACGTACATGCTTATAATTAGAAAATGTTGTAAAATTAAAAATCATAAACTTTTATTAATTTCCTTTTTCACTGACAATGGAAGTGACCGAGTTTCTATGGTGCAAAGCCCTTACAAGTATTCTCGACTAGAGGATAGCTATTTTTGAATAAAAATATGATTGTTTCTTTTTCTAGTTTTCCGTGCATTATGATTAAATGAAATATTTTTGTAATTAGCTTAAAAATATCATTCTGCTTTCTTGCATCCCACTGTAATACTCATTTAATCCCTATTAAAAAACTAATTTTATTTACACAAATTTCTTATTAAAAAACTAATTTTTTTATATACAAATTTCTTTTTCCCCCAAAATTAAATAAATATAGATTTGATTAAATGCCTAATATATAATCAAAGAGACATAATTAAAAAATTTCAACTGCATCAAAATATGTCATTTGAATATATCATTTGAATTTTTGCACTATTAGAAAAAAGTATTGCAAATAATCCCTTGAACATCACATCTTGCTCGTATCGGCCCATTATTTCTACAGAAAATGTTTGTTATACTAGTATTGAAGTGTAAATAATATGCAGAAGAATTGAAACAACTTTTCTTTACAACTTTTGGGCATTGTGTGGAAATTTTCTCTCGGTAAATTTCTCCTCAAAGCGTTAATTTTATAAAATATTTACAGCAGATATGACGCTACCTTTGATTTCCTTTTTTACACATAGTGTATATTCAGTTTCCCGACAGTAGAACATTTGAAAATCTTATGGCATTAAATCCAATATCAAAACTTTAAACCTGTAAGAAATTTCCTTTCTGCAAAGTTTAAAAAAATTTGTTATTTTTCAGAATGTTTAAAAGTATGATAAATCACGATGGTGTTTTCAAATGCACTGTAATATGCTAGTAGTCTGCTGTAAAAGTAGAGTAGTAGACTTAGTATTTTTCATTCAATATAAATAAATAATAATTCACAGTGTTTCACAAATAAATGTCACAGATCTCGAAATATACTTTACAGATATATGAATTAAAATGAAGTGTTAGATTATTGTTTAAATTCTAATGGTCAAATAAGCTGAATATTTTTTTACTATATCCAAAAATGAAAGGCGCAAAATTTTTTCTAATTGCCAATACATATATCATTGTTACACTAATATTTACAACATCTTCTTACAGTTTGCGCTTTTAGAAACTGTTACAACGGCCATCTTGGATCATTTTCCTGCTCTCCGTGAAAAGAAGACATGGGTTGTATTTTTCCTGAGCATCTTGGGATATACTGGAGGAATCATTTTCACAACAAATGTAGGTTTTTTTATGCCAGAAGAATTTTAATAATATAATAACTGACATTTATTCTTTGTATTACTATATTCTGTCTAACCGAAAACATTGCAAGCAGTAATATGAATGCGTTTTCTTCTTAGGCTGGTGTTTACTGGCTACAACTGTTTGACAAGTATGCCGCCAATTTTTCTGTTCTTATCATCGCTATCTGTGAATGCCTTCTTGTATCTTGGAATTATGGTATGATAATCTGCAGTCTAATTATTGAATATTTTCAATAACTACATGCTATTTAGCACTAAAAAGAAGCTGTTTATAATTGCAATTTTGAATTCTCATATGAAATATGTTCTCATATTCTGATTCTCAATTTTGGTAATTAATTTTGTAGCATTTCGAAGCATTGCATATAAATTCGAAAGATTGCATAGGAAGTTTTTTTCATATCTTCTTTTTTTTAAAAAAAATTTCTTTTAAAATGTTTCTTTTATTTTTCAGAAAATGTTTTTATGCTTGTTAAAAACTCATCTGACTTGTTTCGAATGTTTCTGAAAAAGTATATGTTTCATTTTAAATTATGAATGATTGCTTTTACTTGAAAGAATAATGTAAAGTATCTTATTTCAATAAGAAAAATACACAAATCTTCAGTATACTTTTGAAGCTCTATATCGCTTAACTTCATTACACAGAAAGAGACTAGCTACGTCCCTAAATTGGAGCTTCGAATAATAATTAACATGTTTGTATAGAATATAAAATATCTGAGATATCTAAGAAGGTAATCGAATTTGGGATTGTTAGTGATGATAATATCAGTAAGCAACAAATCTGTAAAAAATACATTTAAATATATGTTTATATTTCAGACACATATAAAATTTGGACTGACTTTTAATCACAAATTTAACTTGATTTTTTCCTTTGTGTAAAATTATTAAATATAAAACTAAAAACTTGATTAATACATATATGTAAAATAGCAAGACGAACTTTTCTCAGAGATCAATGGATACATCGTTAACTATAACTAGTAAAATCGTTTAATTAATTTTCATTATAAAACAAATAGATACTGTTGCATTTAAATTACAAAGTAATACACATTTTCTAAGCGCAAATTTCAGACAAGCCACAGGTGGTTTAATCCGATTTTGCGAACGTAAAGACTCATCCATTCTTTTCTTAGCCTTATCAATTTCAGATAATTTGGATTCAAAGTGATTATATAATACACTAGTATAATCAAGGTACTAAAAACAAACAACATTAAAATTCTTCCCTGTAACAGTCTTGAACTGAACATGCTTCCACTATTAGCTTTAAAGTATTCTTCCGGATAATGTATTAGTTTTCTAGTATTTAAACTTCATTAATAGTTAAAATGAAATTTTATTTAATTTATTTTTAGACCTTCGTCCTCCTGTTATTTAAATGCTAATATGTCTTATTATTATATATCCAGAAACACTCTAATAGAGCAAAAATGACCTAGTTTTGATAGCTTTTATGGATTTCTTTTGCAATATAAGAGTTTCGTTTTCACAGATTACTTGATTTTCACTGAAATGAAAACAATGAAAACACTGAAACCTGAAAATTTCAAATAATTAACAGGATATTTAAAAGCTTCAGTAACATACTGAAATCTTAAAAAGTAAAACAACTGTGATCTAACCTTCTTATGCTGATTCCAGTTTAAAGCTTAGAACAATTTACAAATTTATCAAAAAACAAATTAAATGTTAAGAAAGGTGATATTATTCAAATATATTTGCCATGTGGATGCTTGCGCTTTTATTTTAGTAAGTAGTATGCAGGAGTAGGGCTGTGTACTACGATGTAATGCTGCAAGTTGCAAACTTCAACTACAGAGACAATGGGGAAATATGAAAGCATGGCAAGGAAAAGCATAATTAAGGCTCACCATTCGCAGTGTGCTAGTTAATAATATGCAATCTCCTTGTTGTTAATTAAAACTTAATTATTCAAGAAACATAGATGATTCGCTTGATCTGTGGTGCATGAAGTTTGAAACAATTATTTCCTTCAGATAATTTTTATTTTGCCAGGATGCCAAATCTGCTTTCTTAAAACAGTAAATATATCGGAAGATGTTTCTTTCAAGATGAGATTTACGAAAAGAAAACAAAATGAAAACTTTTATATGGCTGATAGTTTTAACGAATGAATCTGGCCGGCGACAAATAATTTGAAATTAATGTGGTAACGTTTTACTGCAAATTAGTATTTTATCTAGAATATAAATACATTATTCAATTAAATAAATGATACCAGTAAAACCTATTGGCTTAATTCTGTATAACGATTTTTTAATGATTAATTTGATGATCTTTTTTCCAAAAGTAGAAAATATTTTACAAATTCTAACTACGGAATTTGATCAATCCTAATAAATAAATTTACAGTTGGTTATAAATATCTTTTAATTATGAATACTAAGGATTTATCTGTGATAATAACCTTCGTAAGCCAAGCTTTGAAGCAGATTAAGATAATTTGTTTATTCATTCGAGATAATTATGTTTCAAATTTCCTTCACGTCAGGTAACCGTTCAAGCATATGACTTCCCTGAGATGCTTTGTTGAACCTAATTAAGCAAAAAATCATTCCTTTCTTTAAAATTTTTGTTCTCTGCTTTTATCTTTTAGAGGTTCTACAGAATTTTGAATGTAATTACATGCAACGTATTTCAGCAGTAGTTGTTATTCTAGTCTTGTTATTCTACTATACTGAATGTAATTATCGTTTATGAAATTCATTTTAGTTTCATTTTTTTCTGCAATACAATATTTGCAATATATTTTATACAGAGCCCAATAAATTGCAATATATTACGTTATGAAACCACGCTTTATTATTTAATACTAATGTGTAGCTTGCATTAGCAAGGTTTTAATTTGCTGAATATCCACTAATTAATTCATACGGCTGTTGAGATTGCAAGATTTTGCTTTAGTTCTTAACAAATTGCTTATAACTCATTGCTTATATGTGATACATTGCTTGCTTGTGATATACTGCTTACAATTCTTTGCTAATTTAAACTGTTAAACTTTACTGTTTAAACTTCTATCATATTTTTTTCCTTTTCAAATCGTAGACACTTTTTCAGACATCATTCATGCAGTAGAGTTTAGGATTCTTAAATTCAGTAAAGCTCACATGAGTAATGGCGTAAATAATTTTGTGATTTAAACAAAAATTGTTCTTTTTTCTAGGTGCCGAAAGATTTCTAAGAGATATCGAAAAGATGATAGGTTCTAGGTCCTATGTCTGGTCGATATTTTGGGCAATAATGTGGAGGATACTGACTCCAGCAACTCTGGTGGTAAGAACACTTTTAATTCCTATTCATTACATTTCACTGTGATAACCTATTTTACTTTTCTCGAAATATTTCTTAGTTATTAAAAATAGGTATTTATATATGTGTATACTTTTATATAATGGGGAATAAGACAGAAATTAACAAAGAGCATTATTGTAAGTTACATAAAATATGCAGTACTTAATTTCGAAGATATGACAGTAAATTTTCCTCATCTAATATTCCGTTAAAATTTATAATGAAACGTGTAGCAAAATTATTTCGTGTGTATCATTCGGCAGAACAAAGTTGTGAAATAGTCACTGTCATTCAACTTCTACCAAATGCATTTTGCTTTCCAAAATAATTACTAATGATAGGTTGAAGCATTAGCTATAGGGAGCCTTCCTCTGTCGTGTTTTGTGCATTGTGTATGCAGTATAAAAATCTAAATAATATAAAATGTTAAATTTCCATTTTAGACTCATTAATTTGGAGAAAAGGTTGTTTTACATGACAGCAACATAAAGAAGTTTTAACGATACTTGAGTAATACAGGGATCGGATTAGCTTCATCTGGGGCTGCTCAAAAATGTTCAAAATAAATTTAAACTTGCATCATCTATAAACTTGTATTATAGATGATTATTTAAGAACGAAAAAACCATTTGAATTGAAATTGATTTGATTAATGTGAATGTTCAGACTCGCATGTAATTTCACTTGCTGTGATCTTGCTTCATCATAGTTTGTGGTGCTGAAAAAGCTTGCTACTGAAAATGAATTTTCTTCACATTGCTTTTTGTCCTTCAAATAAAGTTCGTAGTCCTGTCCTTTCAAAGATCCTACTCCAAGTATGAATGAATTCCTAGTGTATCTATAGCATTTCTCCCATTGAGTCTTATTGTGTATCTTCTAAGAGAAGAACTCAGTAATATGTAATAGTCAACAGAAGAAAGATATTTCATTTTCTCATATTCAAGGAATATGAGACTAGTATTTAGGAAACATTATCCACTCTCTACCACTATTTGTTGAAAAATTTACTTTACAGCTCTCCGCTGCCATAATTATTCCAAAACATTCTTTATTTAGATTCTGCGGAAATTTTCACATTCTAAAAATATTTCCGTTTTAGTTTAATTATCCAGATTCCAGTTACGTATTAATCCTTTAATCTATAATAGACATGATATTTTAGTTGCTTTTCACTCATTCTTGCATCGAAAGAATGGCGATGATGGTTCGTTTCTTGACATTTAACCATTTTTTCCAAGCATAGCGAAAGTATGGTTTCTTTTTCTCCTTCAATGGCATTCGTTTGCACCAAACAACTGATATGTTTTTGAAACATAATTGGTAATTGATGCTAAAATCATACAACGATACACACTTTTTCAATCATCAGAAATTTAAATTCCTAATTTATAATATGTGGGTAATAACCGATTTCAAACTCTTCGCCTTGAGTCTAAGAAAGCCCCCTCCCTAAAAAGTGTTCATTTCAGCCAGTTACTGTCATATTACTTTGAGTGAGCAATGGCAAGTGGGACAGCAGAAAAGTCAAATATGAATATCATTAAAAATAATACTGTGTTTTTTCCTTCCTCTTATTTATTTTATTTCAGTTATTAATAAGAAGCTACTATAGTCTGTTGCTTTAAAATAGGTATTTCAAGGCCATTTCTATTCCTCACCGTTGGTGATTATAACTAGTTGTTATCTTCTCGTTCGCATTTCCACATCATTTGAGACTGTAGTTCAAGTCAGCCTTCATGTGCGTGCTTTTCATGAAATTAAACACCCTAAGCGAAAATAAAATGGGGGAAGCAATTCGACATTTTTTTCCGCTGTTCCGCTTGATTCTGTGTGCACGAGAAAGACGTTTTATGTTCAAATTCTGATTTAATAAAAGGTTTGTTAAACCTTCTAAGACTTTTCAGTTCTTTCCAAACACAGAGATAATTCACCACTAAATCTGTTAGGTTTATTTTAAATTTGACTTGAATTTAAATCGAGGGTTATCTGCCTAAGGGGAGGGATGCCTCTTCATGGCGGATTATCTAAGGGAAAGTGGCTGCTAAGTCTGTTAGGCGTTTATGCTACTCAAAAATAACAAATTATGTAAGTTACAAATGAGAGGAGAATTGCTGAGAAAAGCAAGAAGAAAACATTCTGTCGCAAAAAGAGAGTTTTGTTTCATCGCACAATATTTTGCATATCATAAAAACTCATTTCACCGATTATAGAGCACAGAAAATAAGAATTACTTTTTTTATATATTATTACATTAATTACATAAAAATGTGCCATTTTCATTAATTCATTTCAATTTTTTTTCTGGTGAAAATCTGTGTACTTATTTTTGAAATTATTTGAAAGGCTTTTGAATTTTCTTGGATTCTAACGTGCGGTTCCTACTCCCAAGAAATTCAGACACTTTGAACACTTCGGTAAGATTACCCTTCAAGTCGAAGACTCGGACTTACATAGGCGCGTACTATTCTTCAGGCTTAATTTTCGCATTTATAGTAGAAAAGAAAGGTACTGCCATATTTTCGGAATTTATGTTACTAACAGAAACAGTTGTTTCTAATTTTTATCCTTTTCTCGGGTACAGTACATTTGCCATATATATCCACACATTTTTATTGTTTTCGGTGTCATCGATTTTGTATTAAATTTTGATTCTAATTAGAATGATTTATTTGGATGCCATACAAATATATACGTTGCATTGACAAATTTTACTCCATATAACAATATTAATAAGTTTTGAAAACACGCTTCCTAAAACTTTTCATAACGATTATTTTTAATTAGAAAATATATCGAATCCTACCTCTTGCTAATGGGCAAAATTCTGGTGGAAAATGTTATCAGTTATTTTCATCTACTTCTTCAATAATTATCTACATACGTGCTCTGAAATTCTGATAAAATATTAGACAAATATTATTAGATCGCAAATTTGATTAAGATTTTTTAGTTTTCAAATCTTGTAGAATAATTTCAAAAACGTAAGAAAAGATTGAATTCTATATTATTAGAAAAATCATGGATTCCTCTTAAAAGAACCATGGAACCTCTTAAAAGAACCATGGAGCCTCTTAAAAGAACCATGGATTCCGCCGAAGCTTTTACGATCTACTTAGGGCCTTACCTGTTAACCAGGTCTCTTAAGAATAGATTAAATTTGTTAAAATATGAATGTTTAAAATCTTGGATGCCTGGAAAATATCCAGAATTCTAATATGCAAAGATGGAGCAAAGACCTGAGATTATCTGTTTTGATTTGCAGGTTTCAAACATTTTGTTTAAATATTTAATCTCAATTTGAAGAAGACTGAAGAGCAACCGAAAATAGTTTGCATTGATACTTTTAGGTACTTTTATGTACGTATGGTTTGCCGCTAATATAAGCTCAGATATGTTAACTTTTTTTAATAACAGTTTTGAAAATCTCATCTGTTGGTCTTCATACTAACTAATACTAAAGGAAAAATATATAGTTCTCAGAGATACCTTGAGTGCGACCCGAAACCGAAATGCCAGAATGGATATTCGCGAATAGACCTTTAGAAATAATGACCCACCACTCCCATTTTCAAGGTCACGCAATCAAAAGTCTTGAAGTCTGGTTGTGAAACTTGCGTTGTTGCTAACTAAAAGTAAATCGTGGTTTCGATGCACGTGGTTTAAACAAAGTGATTGTTCTGCAAACACTTATTGCTCTAATTTCTTAAGCGCACAACGGTCCAGTGTTCATGTCTCGCCGTCAAGGGCAACAGATGACGAAGGAGAACAGGCCGTTGATTCATCCTTCCGTCATTTTCCTGACTTCGATGATGATACGAGTATTTTTTCCTTGCCTTTTTAAAAAAGCTAAAGCTGCCTAAGAGTGCTATACTTCTTTTGTCATCCAAAACATATTTCCAAATTTTCTTTATTGCCATTTTTTCGTCTTCCGTTTACGGCTCCAAAATTACTTCTAACTAGGCAGTACAAGTTTAATTCCTAGCCAAATTATTAATTTGCATTACATTTCCTTCATATTTCAATTGCAATATTTTATTTACTATGTTAAGTGTGTCCTTTAATGTAATAAAACGTGTAATTAAAAAAAGCTGATAATTCTAACATTTGTGAAAATAACTGCGCTAGTAAAAACGAGTTTCGCTTATATTTAAGAATGCATAGCTCTTCTTGATTCTAAAGTCTTACATACGTCTGTTTTATATAATTCTGTTTTACATATGTCTGGTGTCATTCTAACATATATCTGATATAATCGGATTTTTTAAACTGTTACATACATTTAGAGCAATCATACCCGCATTGAAGGACATGTTAAATGAGGATGTAACTTAAATTGCTTTACTATTTTAGATGCCTTTAAAGTTTTTTTGCTGTTATTTCAGTTATGCGCAGTAAATACAGAAATGGTTATAAAATACAAATTCTTTAAATTTTCTTTAAAATATTTCAGCAAAAATTATATTAATATATGCGTTTTTAAAATTAAATCATTGTATTTGCCATCGTGACATATTATGGAACACTCTGTTTCTTAAATATTGCATATTTAAAGAATAAACGACAGAAAATTCGTATTCTTCAAACTTCCACTTGCATTTGATTTATTAATTTTTACTCTCAAGGAAATAATGTTTTATAATTAAATAAATATATACATATGCATGTGTGTGTGTGTGTGTGCATGAAAGTGCGCTTGGTGGTTCAAAAATTTGCAAATATATCTTTACAAAGACCGAATTTATTATAATGTTTATGAAACAGAATATATGTATATAAGGACGGGCAGTTTGCCTTAAAGTAAATAACAAACAACTGTTCCTATTTTTCCCGTTTCTTCTCTCATTTATATAGGAAGTAAATGTTTGAGTTTGCTTTTAATCTAAGAAGGGAATTATAGTACATAATATGTAGTAATCACATTAGAAAAATTAATAAAATTACTTATTGAAATGTAAGAAACCTGTTAATACAATAAAAACAATTGGTCAGAATATCCATCAAGAGAAGAAGCTATTTAATATCTTTTTCATTTTCATATTTAATACCATATTCTGGTTATAATCGTTACATCCGATACTATGTATCTTCTCCTGTTGGTTAAAAAAAGATTTCAATCATATAACCATTTACCTCAGCAAAAGTAACTTTCTCTAAACGTTTAATTTATTTTTACGAAAATCCCATTTTGCTATATGCATTTATTATTTGCATTATTATCATTATTAACGCATTTTAATCTATATATAACTTTTAACAGTTTTATATAAATATAATAGTGATAAGAATTTTATATCTAAATGATACAAGGCAACTTTAATCCTGTAATGAAAACGAAATCAAATCCTAAAGCCATTCATTATGGAATATGAAGTAAAATAAAAAATCCGTTCTACTCGAATTATAAAACGCAATATTTCTTCACCTACTCTATCAGTTTTTCTGCATCATTATATCTAAATTACAATATCACAGAGAACATTACATATAATATATTTATAGATTATTTATACTCTATTTGGTAACATAAAAATCACAGTATTGACCACGTACTTAATGCATGAAACATTACCATTAACAAACAAGTTGCACATTAAAAAGACGTAAATAACAACACGGTAAACATAGATTGTTATGCTGTACAAATAATGCAGTAATGCTGTGCAAGTAAGCAGCTATAAACCCAAAAAAATAGTAAATTTAAAAATTTGACTAATCTAGTTAAAAGGCTAAACATGTATGCAAAAACTTATTCACTTAGTTACTTCATTGGTTTTGTCTAAACATGCAATTTAGCTGTTACTTTTAAGCAAGTAATTCGTGTCTTTTATTTTTAGTTTATTTTAGTATTCAACTGGATTGAGTATACACCTGCTAAAAGTGGCACTTACGTGTATCCTGCTTGGGCAAATGCTGTAGGTTGGGTCATAGCCTTCTTTCCAGTGGCTGTAATTGTCATCATGATGTTCTACAAACTTTGCACTATCACCAAGAGACCATTCCGAGAGGTATGATTCATAATACAAAATTTACGATGTCTTTTGGTTACTAAAGCACACAGTTGTTCAAAACATGGTATATGTACCTTTAAATAGTGCGTTGCTTTGATGTGCATCAAGTGAAGATAGAGATTTCCAAGTTTTAAAATGCCACTAAACTTTTTAAAGATGCCATGTTTCTTCAATCTGGCTGCGTACTGGAAATTAATGCCAGATCCGATCACTTAGTATTCTTATATATTATCACTATAGATGACTTAAACTAACACAAGTTGGAGTGACTGTCAATATTATTTCTATTAATATTCTATATAATATTTCTTTTTCCTTTGTTTCCCTTTTCCCCGCAGACTCTTTGTAATTTAGATATTATGTGAAATGCACTGCAATATTTTTGCGATAACATCTGAAAATGAATTGTGTTTAAAATTATTGTATTATGAATATTTCTTTGTTGTTTAAGAAATCGATCAAAAGCACACATGGTGAACTTTTGCGCTTATTTCACAATACAATACTCTACAGAATATTATTGATGTTAATCTAAACATTTGTTTTTGCCTGCGTCAGACAACTTTACAGGGTAAGTCAGAAATATGGCTACGTATTCCATCGTATTGCGTGATACCTAAGTTGTTTAAAGGAAATGGCACAATGCCATTGAAAAATTAAATACGTACTTAGACTGAAGAATAATGCACAACAATACGAACCAGCTTACTTTATTGGGTGAAACTTTTCTCCATTTCGGACGTTTCTAATGTTTCTGTATTTCCACTAGTTTTTCATTTCCCAAATGTTTTCATCACATTCGCACAATGAATGGCAACAATGCTTATTTAAAAGGAGATTTCTGCAACCTGTTGGACATTCTGGGCCATGAACAGTTACAGCATCGGTGATGACTGCAAACGCAAATGCCCTGTGTTGCAACCTTAACTTGCTCTACTATGTACAACGTCATTTTGGGCATGATAGTATAAACTCGGGTACATAATTCTTATTTTGAAATGAAAACATGAAAGTTCAAATTTAATGCACGTTTTACTATTTCCTTTGAACACTATTTATTTCCAAAGTGTAGCCTTATTTCTAATTCATTCATTATATATGGAGTTTAATAGATTTTTCTCAAACTGTTTCCCCCGAAATAATTCTTCCTATCGTATCAAATCCTTAAAAAAGTCCTTTTTTCTGTCATATTTTATTTACTCGTAAATTGAACATTGCAGTATTATTCCGAGTGAAAATTAGGATTCAAATTTTGCTAAATATTAAACAGTGAGCGAAAACTGCAAACCGAGTACTTTATGAAACTGAAAATAAGCCAGAATGTTTACAACAATAAATCTGAAACTGAAGATGCTAAGCTTAGCATAAAATTAAAAGCTGGTTAAAAACATTCTAGACGAGTATTTAAAATACTTACTCATTAGAACAAAAAGGGAATTTACTGTTTACCTCAATTGTCGTAAAACAAATCTATACCCATTTTATTGTATTTATTTAGCCTCGTTGAAGCATAGTAGGCACCTATTAATGGACATTGTTTTCTTTAATACGTAATATAAATGAATAACTTCGATTACAGTACATCTGTTAATATTCCTTTAAGAATCATGCGAATCAGAATTTCAGATAAGTAAGAGATGTAATTATTAATACTTATTTGTTGAAATTTTACAAACACGTGATTTTCTCTTGTGTTTAGAAAATGAGTCTCCTGATGCAGCCAACAGACGAATGGGGACCACCACCGAAATTAGCCACTTTCAAGACTGGCGATCCTGCCGAAGATACAGTAACCGACTACATCCGCAAGAACTCGTTTGACAATCCTTCCTTTAATGTAACTTATACTTTTGAAACCGCTATATGATAGATAATTCCCGCGAGGAATGGATCGACGTGCTGCTAGGAAGCCGGCGATTCCTCTTCGTGTATTGCGACTAAGATACGTTTCAAAGAAGTGCCACTGTTAACCTGTTGGAAAATGCATCCATAGCGACAGGATCTATGAATGTTATTTATTCTTGAAAGTCAGTCAACGAGCGTGTGATACTAAAAATATTTGAATTCAAAAACAGATTTTATGCTCGTTTTTGTTTTTGATTTATATTTTTTTGTTTATGTAAATTATCATTGTACTTCACTGGACATTGCTTTTTTCAACAGCATATTCTGTTTTCCATTTTGTATAGATATCAAAGAAATGTTCCTTTGTACTATAAAAAGCATTACATTTTAAACACATGGTTATAGTTAACATACATGTTAAAGTTATATGTACAGAACTATAAATTTTTAATATCTCAGATACTTCACATTCCATGAGTGAGACTTTATTTTTCAGTATTTTTATACAAAAGCAGCATCTTTATCTTATTATTTATTACAATGGAGTAACATTATGTAAGAAACATCGCCTATAAATGTCTTTATTTTAATGCAGTTATTCATTAAAAAGCGAAAGCAAAATTTGAAAAGTGAGTTGCCGTGAATATTTAGATTATCTAAAAATTATCCTTTGTTAAAAACAATGTTGTCGCTTCCAAATTTATTTTTGATTGTTTATCGATTTTTGTTCCTGTTTTAGTATTTAATAAATAAGGCATTTAATTAAATGCGTATTTTCTGCAGTTTTTGAATTTTTTATCGAGTTTTTATACTTAAGAAACATTTACTCTTCTGTATTAGCACAAATATTTAACTGCACATAATTTTAAATTCATTTGAAAATATTCTTGTTTCTCATATGAAAGAGAGGTATACATATCTCAAGACACTTCTGAGGCATTGTCATTTTGTAATATAACTTGAAAACGCAAATTAAAGGAATTTAAATTTTATTCATCGATCATTTAAAGTTATAATAATGCATTTAGTAATACTTAATGAAATAAAAAGTTATGTTACATTTTGTGGCAGTGAAAAAAGATTTCTTGGCTTATATATTAATATCGAAACGTAACTTATTTATTTTTATTGAATTATATTATACGAACTTTAAAGTAGGCTTTTCTGACACAGAAGAGAGAATATTCAGGTTTTGGGCTAATATTTTTTTTTTTTTTTTTTTTTTTACATTCCTCTCTATTTTAAAAATGCTGTGTGAATTTAAATCATAATTTATGTGATTACTAATTAAAATACTCTTTATGTGAAATATTATAGGCAAATACTTTGTAATGCTATTTTTTTCCCTTGAAATGAATGAGCCTTTCTTGAATTTAATAATATGCTTTCTCTGAATTTTTTTTACAGATTGATAAGACTATTACTAAATAGCATAATCTCAACAAATAAACATAGTATTATTTATTCCATTTAGATATTTAAAAATACGAGTTTATATTTGGATTCTAATGTCTTTTATTACTTGTTAATGTTTCTATTACAAACCATTCATGATATTAAATAATTTGGAGCAATTAAAGATGTCTCAGAAATCTGCATCTACATTTTTTTTTACTTCAATAAAATTTAGGAGGGCTCAGATGCGTAGTTTTAACCTATTTTTTTAATTAATATTTCCACCATTTCTTATTCTAAATACTTAAAAGCCAAATACTTTCTCAAAACGTTAGTACGCATAATATACTTTTCTGCTCGATTAAAATGAGGCATAAGTGTTTCATGTCTCGTGTACGATTAGATGATAAAAATGAACAACTGATTTTAACTGTTTATGTATCGTTTCTAAAGTAAGCTTCTGTTTGAAATTTGACTTGATCACATGAATTATTTCAATCTACCTCCATGTCGTCCTAAGATCTGTTTTTACAGTTTTAAGATTATTATATCTGTTTTTATTATTTTAGGTATTCATCGCAAACTATTAAATAATTCGGATATCATGCCAAAACTGCGTTATTTTGTTTTTATTTTCAGCCTTGCTTTAAATTTTTGTTAAGTAAAAAAATTTTCTTTCTACTGTAATTTTTCAGACTTTAATAATTGATTTGTGCTAAACGTTTTATGCTATTAATTAAATAAATAAAAATAATAGTTTTTAATACAATTTTCATTTCATAAATCTTAGAAACTGCAGCCTTGAATATCTCAGATTAACTAAAAAAAACTTATTGTTAATTCTCAGAATGCAACTATTATATCTATTATTTGATTTTCATATCAATCTTATACCATCAATTTCCGCCACAAAGCCATTTTATTTTCTTTATACAGGAATTTCTCATAGATATGTACCTGGACCTGTCTAAACGAATATGCGTATAGGTTATATAATAGCTGTACCTTCTCAGACTGTTTTTTAAGTCAAGAAGTTTTGTTTATTTTCAAAATAGAAAGAACATCAGTAGACTATTTATAATGTTTTGCAGTCATCTCGAAGAAAGACAATTACATTGTGTTTTACAGATATAATTTTCAGTGAAATATCCACAGTGTACTGACTAATAATAATAAATTTCTAGTTCTAATAATCTCAGAATTAATACAAAAAATTGATTTTTTGAAACACGTAAAATCTGTATGTGCCTCTTTTCAAAAGGTTGGAGTGAAAGGATATGAAAATGAGAAAACGATTAAGTGTGAAAAAGTACACGTAACAAAAAATAACGTTATAAATAATCGACATTTATTACTGTCAATATGAATACAACACACTGAAAACCTTTTTTGTTTTAAAAATAAATCGTGCATTAATTTTTGCATCCTAACAGAAATTTTCCTGCTTTAAACATACATTTTGATACCTTTGAGTTCCATTTGGAACAAGAAAAACTTCTGAATTTTTTCGTAAAGTTTCATATGTTGCGGCGAAGCTCAACACCATCTCTTTTGCATCTTAAAGTTCCTTCTCTATATTTCTGGATGAGCAAAAGTGAACTCACTACAAACCTCTGAAAAATAAAAAGATACAATGTAATAAAAACAAAAATAAATGTATTGCGATGAGCTAACATTCGGAAAAAATACTAATAATGTTATTGCATTACTGTGCTGCCCGATTTATTGTTCAAAGAGATGGTAACTCAAATAGGCAAGTGTTTTACTTCAAATTTTTTTCTTAAATTATTCCTCAGGAATAAAATATCCCGAGGTAAGAAGATATTCGGGGAGCAATAGATGAGGGCTAAAATAAAATTTATACAAAACTTTATGCGAAATCAAAAATGGCGAACGATAGATAGAGGTTCTACTGTAGATACTTTTCTTAATTGCTATAAAAGTATGTAGAATGTTATATAAAATGAAAGATATGTCCAACCACTAACATTTATAAATGAGGTACCTGTTTAGTGAGGTAATAAAATTGAAATTCAAAATACATTGAAACTAATTTTCAATAAATATTCAGTAGGCTGCAGTTATATGAATTATATAAAATTCCATGAAAGTAGAATAAAAGAGAAACGCGTCAATGTGACAATCAAAATTGCAATAAAAACCTTGTATTTAGCGTTAACCTTGTATTTAGCGTATGTTAAAACACTCAATCGATTTCGAGGGCAGCTAAAGGTCCCTCCTCATCAGGAGAATGAAATTATTAGAAAGGGGAAAAAAAGAAAGAAAAATAAAGCATCAGCAAAGGAGTCTCAGAAACACGTAGTCGTTATCAGAACTGCACATGGTCGGAACCGGATTTTGAATCAGAGTTACACTGGCCGCCTACTTTTACTGAGTCAGGCTATCTGATCAAACATATAACACATAGAATAAAACGGGGGAAAAAATCAGCGAAGTCAAAAAATAGGGAGCGAGGCGCAACTTACGCACCACGTCTGAACCTGGAATACCCTCGTAAAAGTAGGCGGCCAGTGTAACAAAATCTGATAACGACCACGTGTTTCTGAGACTCCTTTGCCGATGCTTTATTTTTCCTTTTCCCCCTGTCTAGTAATTTCGTCTTCATCTTCGTTCTCCTGATGAGGAGGGATCTTTAGCTGCCCTCGAAATCGATTGAGTGTTTTAATATATGTAAGCTAAATACAAGGTTGTTATTGCGATTTTGATTCCGTAAAAATGTTGGAAGAATGAATGCCGATCATTTATTTTAAAGCGGTAACTTTCAGATCGATTATATTTCTTAGGATTTCAGATTTCTGAGACATTTCGTGTAATAACCTCGCATATCCGAACGTATATTGAATTCATATTTTTTCGACGTACTCTGCATATACTTTACTATTTCTTGAAACAAAGAATATGAAAATATTATTTACATCTATTACATAAAAATATGCATTCATATATGATGATGATGTTATGATACTAAAGGAAACTTTACTGCTAAAAGTTAGAGCTCAATGCTTTATAAAAAATTACCATATCTCGTAAGATAAATTTATTTTATGTTACCTTTGTTATCTTATTCTATGAATTTAACAATCAAACCGAGCTTTATTAAAAGTTATTCTTTCTAGGAGTAAGATACGGATAATGAGCTTTTAAGCAAATGTTTTATAATTCAATGCTATTAGGAATTAACAAAATTATACTTCTTTTTTAGGAAGAAGGTTTACAAAGTGGATAGTGAAATAAAAAATTATTACATATATATATTTTTATATGGGCTGAATAGTAAAATTTGTAATCATAGGTCAAGTGCTTCCACAGAAGACAAAAATTATCACTAAAATCTGTTCTTGCATATGGTAGAAGTTTTAAGTCTGCGTCATCAAAGGCATAGTGAATAAAGTTTTCTTTTAGTTAAAATTAAGCACTCGTTAACAACTCTTTCCACTAAACTATGCGCTTTCGCTACTATTCTGAATGTTGTAAATAAGGCATGCATTTGAATCGCCCATAAACTCGGAACATCAAAACTTTTATGATATTGGTTAGGATCGTTGAATTCAAAAGTAACCCTTAAACTTACGTACTTTCATATAATTTTATTATTTATTATTTTATTATATTCTATTAGTTATATGCTTAAAATTACGAATTATTATAATTATATTTAAATTAAAATTATGAACTATTATAATATTATAACTGGCAAACACATATGATGTAATTCGAAGCAGGAATTTAGTTCATTTTTAAAAGCTATTACTGAAATTTTAAATTTAAGTTACTATAAATGCAATTAAAGTACGTTAAGTAAATTCAAATAACATAATCATGACCTAAGTTTTTTTGAAACATTGAAACTCGTAACACTTAAATAAATTTGAAACCAAACCCTATCTGATGACAATCGACAATAAGAAAGTTATTTTATGTATGGATATCTTTTCAGGTGAAACATATATGGAAAAAATATTAAGAGATGACTAAAAAAATAAGTGAATATTCATGTAACAGAGGTTTATTAGTATGGATTATTCAAATTCCTGCTCCTTGTAGTGATATGTTATTTATATGTGCAAAAGTTCTACCCATTTTTAAGCGGGAAAAAGAAATCAGAGAGCACTAAATATATATATTACTTCTTGCCATCTACTTGTTAACAGGTGTATCCTACACCGATCAAACTTCTTTGGTCTAGAGGTAAAAAGATAAAAATATCGAAATGCTGTTTTCACGTTCTTTACATTATCGAAGATTTCGAGAATGAAAATGGTCTATCATGAACAGATGAGATGGTTGTTGTAGTTGCTTATCCTTTAAAAGTCCATTGACCCTATGAAAGTCGAGAATAAGAACGGGACGGGAAACTATGTCCTCTCTTAAGAGGTCTAAACAATCCAAGATTATATCTAACCAAAGCCTGGTGTCACTGGCATTTGGTGCAGGCGTCAAAGACTTTCCTGTCTTCATATAAAGAGAGCACTTGATATAGTGACTTATATATGACTTGCCAGTCGTGAAAGCGCAGTTCGCAAATCTTTCCTTCATTTAAGGTTTAGAGCCATTCCCGGCCCACTACCCAGATACCAGTGATGGGTGGGGGTGCCAACCACTCCACTACATTTTGTGAGTATTGCTGGGAGAATAGCTCCAAAAAATTACGGTTGAAGGATGAGGGAGTAAAATGAGTACAACCCTTATTTGTTATTTTTTTCGCTAGTTTATTGCCGTAAATGTCTACGTGAGATTTAACTCACTGTAGATGGACATCATGGAGCAGCCAAATTAGTTTTAACTTTTGTAGGATGGAAACGCTCATTTTATCTTCCACTGTCGTTTCAAGTCAGTTGCTGTTAATTTGCTTCTGAAAAACTAACAGCAATCCGTGTTACGTTGGCAAAAATGTCTCAATATGAATTCCACTGCCTAAATTATCAGCAGTTTTGCTACAACCAGTTAAAATCTTGATGGTACATTTTGGTATGTTGTGTATGATTTCCAAGGTCAACTATTTGAGGTGATCGATGAAAAAATCTTTGTAACAGGAGAGGAAAGAGTAAAACGAAATTGAACAATCCAGTATCCCTCCGAGGAGGCAAGCAATAATGTAGAGAGTCACAATAAGGTAAGTGCTGAGACATGATTTAACTGAAAGGGGATGGTCGTTTAGAAAAACAGGCAAAGGGTGTATATTAATATACATTCCTGGATGGGTGAATATTTTCCATTCAAAGGTCCAATAATTTTTATTGAGTAATTAAAACAATATGAGGTCTAGCATTATCTTGGTGAAAGATAAATGGCTTTGGGATTGAAGAATGAAAGCTGATTAATTGCCGGTTCCCTTCAGTGTCTGTCCAATTGTAAACAATAGAAGTCAGCATTTATTGTTCGGTTACATTCTAGTATACTATCGCTTGATACCTAAAAGTACTTTTGGGATGCAGTCTTTCTCTCGAGGTTAACCATACAGTTCTGTAATTCAGCACAC